CGCCTTCTCCTTCTCTCTCCTTCGAGCAGGGAGGCTCCAGGCCTGGAGTGTCTTCCCCAGTGGAGCTCCTGGGAGTAGAGGCAACGTGCCCTGGAAGGGAGGAGCTTATAAAATGCCTCAGGCTGAAAACAACTTCTCAAATAAAAGCCCCACTTATGTTTTTTAAGCTTCCTACATGTCCTTCCTGCTGCCCCACTGTTTGGGTCCCTTAAGTGCCCACTGCCCTGTGGTTGTAGGATGTGGCTGGCCCCAGAGCCTCTGCATTGCACATTCCCCCGGCACCATTTACGCTGTGTCCTATGGGAATCCACCCTCCGGTCCTGGCCTCTGTCCAGCATCCTGCCAGGATGGTCTGATGAGGCTCCGACCCCGCGTCTGGAGCAGCCTTCCTTTGGACTGCTCTGAAGCCCGGCCGGCTGGCCCAGGTGAAAGAAAAGAAAAGAGAGTCGTCTTCTTAGTTAGGTGGGAACCGGGGAGTGAGGCAGGAGGAGCCAGGGGGTCTGCACCCAAGCCTCCATTGATGGTGGCAGAGGCAGTAACAAGGGCAAGAACCAATACCCATGCAGTGCTTACTTTGTGCAAGGTGCAGTTACATTCCCCTGGGGTAGGTTGTACCATTAGGCAGATGAGAAAACTGAGGCATAGACAGGTCACTTGCTCAAGATCATATGACCTGGAAATGGTAGGATTTGAACTCAGGTGACCTGACTCCAGGGTCACTTTTCTTAAAAAAAAATTTTTTTTATTTTTATTGATTTCAGATAGGAAGGGAGAGGGAGGGAGGAAGGAAGAGAGAGAGAGAGAGAGAGAGAGAGAGAGAGAGAGAGAGAGAGAGAGAGAGAGAGAGAGAGAGAGAGAGAGAGAGAGAGAGAGAGAGAGAGAGAGAGAGAGAGAGAGAGAGAGAGAGAGAAACATCAGTGATGAGAGAATCATTGATCAGCTGCCTCCTGCATGCCCCACTCTGGGGATTGAGCTGGCAACCTGAACATGTGCCTTGACCGGGAATTGAACCATGACCTTCTGGTTTATAGGTCCATAATCAACCATTGAGCCACACTGGCCAGGCCAGGGTCCCTTTTCTTAATCACTACATCCTCCTGGCAAATATCTTACTTTCTGGGCCTCACTTTCTACATCTGTGTGGGGAAGACAATGAACTACTACTGCCATTACTACCACTACCACCACCATCACTGCTGCTACTACTACCACTACTACCACTATTACTACCACAACTGCTACCACTCCTGCTGCTACTATTGCTGCACTACTAGCTAATAGCTTGGGATTTACTATGTTCCCAACACTATGCTAAGCTCTTCACATACATTATTTCAGTTAAGCCTCTCAATAATCCTACAACATGAGTATTTGTTGATCATCCCCACTTACAGACAAGGAAACCAAGGCTCAAGTTAGTTGGGAAACATGGCCAAGGATATTCTACCCCAAGTGCTGGCGAGAGGGCTACATCCAGGCAGTCTGACTCCAAAACCCCACACTCTTCCTTACGGGGTTTTGTTCCCTCTAAATACCAACTGAGGCTGGGGCCTTCTGGAGTTTGGAATCCCCACATATAATGACAGATGTGGGAGTTTCAGGAAGCCCCTAGGATCTTTCTCTCTCACCCCCAGGGCCCCTCTTAAGCTCTCATCAGCTCCCCACATCTGTATGGCATTTCTAGGATCTCCCCGCAACTTTCTCTCCTGGAGCTGCCACCAGCAGGCCCTAAACCTGGCTGCAAGGCCTTAGTCTCACCAGCACCCCTTCCTGCCCCAGGACAAACCCCTGGGCCCTTTGCAGTGTGAGGGTATCCAGGCACCTCACAAAGCTTATAGTGTTGCCAGGCCTGACGGAGGCCCTCATCTCTGGTTCTGACGCCTCCCCCTCCCCAAGGTGGGGACAAGACAGGGACAAGATGGGCTGCTTCCACCCCTGTGGGGATGGGGATGCTGGCTGGCCAAGCTCTTGGTTCTGTCTCAGACCTCATGGCCTTGACCTCCCCCAGTCAGACAATGATGCTCAGGCAGATCTTGGGCCTCTCTAGGATCTGCAGATAAAGAAATCAAAACCCCAAATTCAAGAAGAAGCAGCAATACACATTGTCTTTTGGAAATTCCTGCCTTTTCAAAGACCCTGGATTGGTGTGGGCTCTCAGAGGACCGGCTCTCTGTGGCTGGGGGGAGAGGGGTTTGAAGATGAAGACAGTGAGATGCAGAGAAGTGGTGACTAGCTCAAGGGCATACACCTCATCAGAGGAGGACCTGAGACTCAAAATCAGTGACTTCCCCGGGCAGAGAAGCCAGGGATGTGTGTAGCAGGTAGTTTTACGCTCAGCAGAAGCTCTGGTTTTTGGTATTTTCTTTTTTTAATCACCCTAGGTCAGTGGTGGGCAAACTCATTAGTCAACAGAGCCAAATATCAACAGTACAACGATTGAAATTTCTTTTGAGAGCCAAATTTTTAAAAACTTAAACTATATAGGTAGGTACATTGTTATTAACTTAATTAGGGTACTCCTAAGGCTTAGGAAGAGCCATACTCAAGGGGCCAAAGAGCCGCATGCGGCTCGTGAGCCGCGGTTTGCTGACCACAGCCCTAGGTGATTCGAGCAAGAGCCGAAGACACTGAGAGTTTGGGGTCACTCATAGGAATATCTGCCTTGGCAAGGGTGGCGGGGGGGCTACTCAAATTCGATTGTTTCCCCGAATCCTCTGGGATCTTATTAAAGTGCAGATTCTGATCAGCACATCAGGCAGGGCTGAGAGTCTGTGCTTCTACAGTTTCCAGGGGATGCTGCCGCTGCTGGTCCAGGGACCACACTCTGAGTAGCTGGGCCTTGGGAGACTCCGGAGGCCTTGGAGGGGATGGGGTCGGAGCTGGGAGGAGGCTGGAAAGCTTTAGCCAGCTTAGCAGAGTGTTGCTGAGGTTTGAGTTGAAGTTGGAGCAGAGTGGCTCCAGAGGGGGTGGGCTTCTCACCAGCTACCCGAGAGGTCTGGGCATGGGCCTTGCTCTGCCCTCCAGTCCCCGGAGTTCTCAGTTTCCTGACTTGCACGTGATTTTCCAGCATGAGTCTCTGCCAAACTCGAGTTTTGACATTGGAAACTCGAAGTTGGGTGAGTCTGCAGATTGTCAGAACCAACGTGTGTGTACACCCTGGTGCCCCAGCAGGGGGCTGCCCCAGAATGCTGCCAACCCCCACTCCCCGCTGGGGGTCCTCAGCCCCTGTTACTTCCCTCCCTCCGGGCCCTTCCACCCTGCAGCTCCCTGGCCATCCCCTGACCCACGCACACAGGCTGGCACTTCTCCTGGAGGAATTGCCAGTGGGCGTCAGCCTTTCCCACTTGAAGTCGGCTTGTCCACTGAAGGTCTGTGTGAAATTAGCTGGGCCCTGTGCTGCTTGCTTGTTGCTGTTTCTCTGCTAATGAGTCTAACGAGAACCACGTGGACAATGGGCGTTGGCTCTGGACGGCTGGGTCCCGAACTCTGTACAATGTAGGGCTCTTGGCTGCACACCCTGTCAGCTGGCTCTCCTACCTCCCCCACCGGTTTGCCGGCTCCCTCTCCCCTCCCCACAGCTGCCCCTCTGGCTGGAGCGGAGGCTGCCGATGCCGGGGAATGCTCATGACTGTCCTAGAAGTCTCACACATGTGGGGTGACTCGCTGGACAGCAGGTGGGAGGGCTGACAAGGACGGGTGTGTGACATCCTCCCAGCCCCCAAACTGTGTGGAGGCTCAGTCTGTTCTCTGGTGTTTCCCAGATATCTGTGGGTCCAACTACTGCCTATGCACAGGAGATGATGGCCCGAGCCCCTGGGGCCACTCCCTGCCCCCTCTTGCCCCCTCTCACAGAATCTGAAGTGGCTGTAACATACCAGCCCATCTCCCTGGCAGGCCCCTTCCGTCACCCCTGCCCAGTCACTGGACTTCGGGGAGCCACTGTGTATGTAGGTGGCCATTGCTGGAGCCACAGCTATTCCCTCCACCTTGGCGGAGTCCTCTCATCTTGGTATCTACCTGTCCTTCTGTGGCTTTGCCAGCTCTGCCATGCGGTTTATGTATTTATGCATTTGTGGAGGGTGAGGACTGGGGCCTGCCTGGCTCACGCAACTGAGGGGAAGGACTGTAGAGTGGTGGTGGCGGGGTGAGTGGGTCCTGTGTATAATTAGGGCTTTTGGAAGATTGTCCAGTCTTCCCAGACTGGCCCATCCTCATCACAACCCCAACACACACACACACACACACACACACACTGGGAAGAGGATTTGAAGAATTCTTTAAATTCTCATCTATCTCAGCCTAGCTGCCCCGGGGCAGGGGCTGTCCTAGGGGGTGGGGAGGCAGGGGGGAGTCCCTGTTGTTGAGAAGGGGCCTAGGTGGATCACTCCTTCCAAACCCCGGGTTTAATATGAAGAGCATATGCTTTGAATTCTGGTGCCAGATCCAAGGAGTGGTGGGTGTGAAGTCCAGCTCCGTGTCCTCAGGCAAGTGACCGGCCCTCATCTGCCAAAGAGCCTCATCCATACAATGGGTATAGTAACCTATATGGAGTTGTTTGGGGGAGATTATTAATAGTAATAATAATTATTATTATAACTCTGTAGCTCTTACTGTGGGCCAGGACTTCATGTTATTAATTTTTAATCCTCACAACAACCCTATAAACTAGATTTGATCTTTGTTCCCATTTACATTTGAGGTTAGCTATTTGTCCCAGTCTTGCAGCTGGGACTCAGCAGAGCCTGGAGGTTTAGCTATTGTCTTCATCGGGATCCAGGA